AACCATAACATAACCTAACCTAACACAAACCATAACCTGACCTAACCTAACCTAACCTAAACCATAACATAACATAACCCTAACCTAACCTGACCTAACCTAACATACCCTAACCTGACCTGACCTAACCTAACCTAACCTAACCTACCTAAAACCATAACACTTAACCTAACTAACTAACTATAACATGCCCTAACCTGACCTAACCTAACCTAACCTAAAACCATAACCTAACCTACATTAAAACCATAACATAACCTAACCTAACCTAACCTAAAACCATAACCTAACCTACATTAAAACCATAACATAACCTAACCTAACCTAACCTAAAACCATAACCTAACCTAACCTAAAACCATAACATAACCTAACCTGAAACCATAACCTAACCTGACCTGACCAAACCTAAAACCATAACATAACCTAACCTAACCTAACCTGACCTAACCTAACATACCCTAACCTGACCTAACCTAACCTAACCTAACCTAACCTACCCTAAAACCATAACATAACCTAACCTAACCTAACCTGAAACCATAACCTAACCTGACCTGACCTAACCTACCCTAACCTGACCTGACCTAACCTAACCTACCCTAACCTGACCTGACCTAACCTAACCTACCCTAACCTAACCTAACCTGACCTAACCTAACCTGACCTGACCTAACTTAATAATGAAGTAAGATGGAGAGTTGATTAAGCTTAAGGTTCCTACAGTAATGATAAGTAGGAACCTTAAGCCAAGTAAACAATGTGTTTTTGCCCGTAACAAGGCTAATAAAGTACTTGGGTTCATACAAAGAGTGTTAGTACAAGACTAGCGAGGTCATCCTAAAACTGTATCTTGCTCTTGTGAGACCTCACTTGGATTACGCAGTTCAGTTCTGGTCACCGTATTACAGAATGGATATAGAATCCTTGGAAAGAATTCAGAGGAGAATGACAAGACTAATCCCGGGCATTAGGAACCTTGAGTACAGAGACAGGTTAAAGCATCTTAATTTGCACTCCCTCGAGAGACGTAGAGTGAGGGGCGACCTGATAGAGGTGTATAAGTGGAAGGCAGAGCTAAACAAAGGGGACATTACAAAGGTACTCAAACTATCCAACCAGGAGCGAACTCGTAACAATGGTTTTAAATTAGACAAATTTAGATTTAGGCGCGAAATAGGTAAACACTGGTTTGGTAACAGAGTAGTGGATGAGTGGAACAAGTTACCAAACATCATCATTAACTCGAATACGCTGGATAGCTTCAAGCATAGGTTGGCTGCTTATATGAGCAATAGGGGATGGGTGTAAACGGGACTGCCCAGTATGGACCAATAGGCCCGCTGCAGTTTCCTCCATTCTTATGTTCTAAGTACAGTAGTTTCACGAGATTAACAACATAACATTTCGAAGCTTCATAATACTCCCCTTACGAGAAGCTTCACATGCAAATAGGTTAGGTTAGGTTAGGTTAGGTCAAGTCAGGTCAGGTCAGGCTAGGTCAGGTCAGGCTAGGTCAGGTCAGGCTAAGTTAGGTTAAGGTTGGCAAAAATAGAAACATTAACCAGTTGAGATTCAGGAGCTTCAGTTAGCCTTAAAACTACAAAACTGCCTCGTGACGCCAAACCCTCATCTGCATAAAAACGTGTCCGGTTATATTGAAGAAGGGACAGGTGTTGTACAGTATACAGGCATTTGATTGTATACCTTCAAGAGCCTATATACTGTACACTGATACACACACACACACACACACACCTACTACTTTTTTTTTTAGAATAACGTGGCCTCCAGCCTCCCCCAATAGCCACACCTTCGCCGCCATTTTATTACCTTAATATTACTACTACTACTACTACTACTTTGCTGTCACTCGGAAACGAGTATGACGATCATCCAGCTATGATACTATGATATGAGTTATTAAGTTTGTCACCTAGGTTGGTGAGTTTTGAGGTGACTAAAGAGGTCGATACGGGGCCGCAAGGTCGTCCACAGTCGTTGCACATGTGGAGGGCTGCATCTAGTGCGGGAGGGACGGTGGCAGCGTCTTTCCAGCATTGGAGCTTGTCTGCCTCGGTTTGCAGTCGGGTTAACTCGAAAGTATTGACACACCTTCTCGCGTGGTGCTCCTCCAAGCGTTACGACCTGGACACACACACACACACACACACACACACACACACACACACACACACACACACACACAGGCCAGACCACTGAAGCCTCACAGGGCGGGAGGACGTTCACTTACATGTCATCTCCTCACCTCTCATTCACCACCAGCGTCTCCTTCTGTCACCATCACCATCACTATCACTGATACCAACACCGTCACCAACAATATCATTGACATTAACACTATCACTACCATCATCACTTAACACCATCACCAACTCTATCGTCATCACCAACACTTACCATCACCAACACTTACCATCACCAACACTTACCATCACCAACACCCCAATGAAGGTTATTAGTGGGAGGGAGTTGCAAACAGTAAACAAACCTACATCATCGACCTACATGCCGTATAATACACACAAACGTAAACAGACCTACATATTTATAAAGGGACAGACACAAGGCTGACAAGGGCTAAATTTACGTATACTCTCTCTCTCTCTCTCTCTCTCTCTCTCTCTCTCTCTCTCTCTCTCTCTCTCTCTCTCTCTCTCTCTCTCTCTCTCTCTCTCTCTCTCTCTCTCTCTCTCTCTCTCTCTCTCTCTCTCTCTCTCTCTCTCTCTCTCTCTCTCTCTCTCTCTCTCTCTCTCTCTCTCTCTCCTCTCTCTCTCTCTCTCTCTCTCTCTCTCTCTCTCTCTCTCTCTCTCTCTCTCTCTCTCTCTCTCTCTCTCTCTCTCTCTCTCTCTCTCTCTCTCTCTCTCTCTCTCTCTCTCTCTCTCTCTCTCTCTCTCTCTCTCTCTCTCTCTCTCTCTCTCTCTCTCTCTCTCTCTCTCTCTCTCTCTCTCTCTCTCTCTCTCTCTCCGTCAGCTAATCATAAAAAAATTCTCCAGGAAGTGTAATGTTTTATGTTCTTTAAGTCTGTGTACCACTTAACACGGGGTGACCTACACTGTGTGGGTGTACAGAGTTAATTATGTTTTGTAATTACTGTAAGGTGGAAGAACTGTTATTTAAAATGTTTTTTGAATATAAAAATAAAATAAACAAAGTCAAACGCCTTCAGGAGTTTAAAATGAAACATATCTAAGCGGGGCCCAGCTACGGTACAGATTAATTTGCATTTGCCCGTGATTAATAATAATAATAATAATAATAACAATAATAATAATAATAATAATAATAATAATAATAATAAAAACAATAATAACAATAATAATAATAATAATAATAATAATAATAATAATAATAATAATAATAATAATAATAATAATAATATAGTACTACGACTAATATAATGTTGCGTCAGACGTGTTTCAATCCGCCTTGCGTCACTCTCATGGTCATAAATTATGTAACTCACGGTAAAATGTAATCATAAAGATCGTGGTTTAGTTATTAAATATGAGACTATAATAAATCATCGTAACACTTTTTTATTCTTGTTGACATAATAACCTTTTAATCACAAAATATTATAACTAAAACATTTTCCATCATCGTTGTCACTCCTTCACTTATTTAAACACGATTATTTCTAAAATTTTCTTATTACCCCTCGAAAAAAATATTCGGTATTTGCGATGAACGAATCTTAGTAAAAAAAAAAAAATCTGACTATTAATCACCAAAAAAAATATGAAACGAGTCACTTTTAATTTATGGCGAGCGAAGACTGGTAAAAGAGTTTATTAAAATTATGAAACTCACAAATGTACTGTCATATCTTTGTTGACAGTAAAATAGTGATGAATAATATTGAGAACAGCCAGAGTTGTTATGAGGAGGTCGAGTGGTACCACCCTCACCACGCACGCTCCAGCAACACACTACTTACCCGTCTTCCTCACCACCACACCCCAGGCAACTCATCACCACTACTACTACCACCACCTCACCCCAACACCACCCCAGGCAACTCATCACCACTACTACTACCACCACCACAACACTCACTACCTCACCTCCTTAAACGCCAGACACTAGTATCCCTAGCATTGTAGCAGTACCAGGTGTACACAGGTGACACTAGCAGTACCAGGTGTACACAGGTGACACTAGCAGTACCAGGTGTACACAGGTGACACTAGCAGTACCAGGTGTACACAGGTGACACTAGCAGTACCAGGTGTACACAGGTGTCACTAGCAGTACCAGGTGTACACAGGTGACACTAGCAGTACCAGGTGTACACAGGTGACACTAGCAGTACCAGGTGTACACAGGTGTCACTAGCAGTACCAGGTGTACACAGGTGACACTAGCAGTACCAGGTGTACACAGCAAAGTAATTAACCTACCATAACCTTATTAAGCTGCATAGGGTAATTAGCCTAAAGTAGAGAAATTGGTTCACTCGACAGGTAAGTGAAGACTCAGTCTACCACTAGAGTATAATGAACTAACCCACTGAGTGACATAACATAATCCCTTTAGTACGACGACACCTGAGTAGTGTTCACTTGGCAGCAGAGGAAACACACGAGTACACTTGTCTCTGTGTATGTACGTTATCGTACTCAAGGGGTAAAATTATCTTGTCATTCATCTGCAGATGACCGTCAGCGGTGTTGTTGACGTTTTAGTAAGAACTCTTAACTAACCGGAGAGATGACGATGGTAGATGACGTCATTGACCCTCGTGACGTTAGGGATAACATCAAACAATAGATGACGTCACTGTTCCTCGAAACGTTAGGGGTAATTACAACACAAAGCAAGAAATTACGTCACCGATCTTCGTGACGTCAGGGATCTAAAAAAACGAGATGATATCACTGATCCTCGCGACGTCAGGCATCATAACAATAAACAAGAGATGACATCACTGAACCTGGTGACGTCAGAGGTAATAACAAAACACGGGCTGTACTCACCCCTCTTGAGAGTGGATCTAGTGGAAGCACGAACCATGGTGGAAGCTGCGTCGTCGGGTGAGTAGGAGTACCACTAGTAGGGGCGGACAGGCACTGGCTTACAGGAGCACTAGCTTAAGAGAGGCACTGGTGCACTACAGTAGCGGCGGGGGTACAGCACTAGACCCCTGGTGACGGAGGCGCTGTAGAAGACGTCCGGGAAGCTGAGTTAAGGCGGTGGTGGTTGAGAGGGTGGGGGGGGAGAGATGTCACTTACTGCTGCAGATGGTGGTTGTGGCGAGTTGATAGTGGTAGTAGCGGTGGTGGTGGGAGTGGTGGTAGCCAGCCCGTGTGTGACCCTCACACAACCCCGGGGGCACCAACACGGCCACACCGCCATCCACACTGTTGAACAAAGTAAAGTTCAGTGTTAATGAGATCAAACAAATAATGTAAACACACACACACACACACACACACACACACACACACACACACACACACACACACACACACACACACACACACACACACACACACACACACACACACACACACACACACAGTGTATCATTGCCATATAATATAAACCCCCTGATAGTACTGACCTCATAATATTTCGTGTTTCTTTCATAAGTTGGTCTTTCTGGGTGGTGGTTTATATTAACGAAGTAGATTATCATCTCTCTCTCTCTCTCTCTCTCTCTCTCTCTCTCTCTCTCTCTCTCTAAAATTAACATCCTGAGGGAGGAGGAAGTGAGATTGTCATCATCTCCTCACCACGGCGGTCTCAGCGTAAGATCGGCCATATCTTGACCCACCCTGTGTCAAGTCACTAAATGAATCATTCAGGGTCTTACGTTGCTTCTAAAGACAATTCACCGTTAGAGTTGGGAAAAGGTAAGACTATTGCAAGGCACGTTTATTCCTTTAAGTATACAACCAGGATCTTGGCCTGGTGGCTTGAACACAGAGAGAGTCGTAGCTGATGCAGGGGAGAGCCCGTATAATCAGGGTAGGAGGAGAGGCAGAGAGATGGAAGAGGAAGGGAGGGGGGCAGGGGAGCAGAGAGGGGGCAGAGAGAGAGAGAGAGAGAGAGAGAGAGAAATAGTTCTGGTGTTGCTGGATGGAACCATAGACTCTCAGGTCGTTCCTTTGTCAAGGTCAGAGTCAATGGTTTCAAGTAGATAGCAGTCTATTCTAGCTCCAATAATATGAACACCTTTGACGATATGGGTGAAGGTCAAGGGTGAGAGGTCAAGGTGAGGTCAGGGTGAGGGGGTCAAGGGTGAGGGGTCATTAATGATCAAGTGGGAGACACAAGGAGGACATATACAGTAAAGATTATCTGCCTGGAGACTTATAATAAACAATGTTTTGTCTTAAAAAAACAATCATTCAATGATCAAGTGGGAGACACAAGGAGGACATATACAGTAAAGATTATCTGCCTGGAGACTTATAATAAACAATGTTTTGTCTTAAAAAAACAATCGACAACGAGAAGCCTTAACACTGCCCCGCCCTTCACTATACTGTACTTCAAGTTATGGACAGTATATACACAACGATTACTCAGTGTATACTGTACTGTACATATATCTCCTGTTGTTATTAATTCCATGTATTCTCCCTTATCATTACGGCAGTCTTGGGAATACTGTATCATGTAAGTAAACGTTATTAACCAAATATATTAACACTTAAATTCAACTTTCAACTCTAAATCAAATCCAGTAGTAGTTATGTAAAGTAGGAGGACACTACAACTCTCTGATCACCATCTATTGAGAGAAATGTACAGTACAAGAGTGGCGTCTCCTGCCGTAAGAGAGGTGGCGTTGTTTGGCTGCAGTTAAAGTGACTTTGAGAACTAACTCTGGGTTCGTCTTCGTATAATTGTAATTTTAGTTTTCCCTTTCCAAATAAAAGCAGTTTGTTAATCCCTGAATTAACTGTTACATATATAAACACAATTGCAAATACGGTAATCAGTAACATCAAAGGTTCGCTGTAGAGTAATAATCACACATAATATTATATAATAAAAAAGAATAATTTACGGATAGAGATGATGAGACGATTAAAAGCAAAAAAAGATTAATACCTTTCTAAATTCGTCTTGTAAAACTTTCCATTACCAATTCTTTCTTTAAAGTTTCTGTACCTCTTAATCCACCACCACACACCAGTAGAAGGGGGGGGATAGAATTAAAATTACTTTAGTTAGGGATACACGGATAACGTTTTCTCTAATGCACAAAAAATCTCTATTGCTCGGCATAACTCATGTATTTTGTCTTAAGGGGTACTGGCCTTTCACGTGAAACCACTAAAACACCCCTACACTACATCCACTACAACACCCCTACACCACAATACCCTTACACTACACACCCAGTACATCACACCTACACAACACCACCCCCACATTACACACCCACTACACACACTGTTCACCACAATCTTGAAAGTTTCCCAGAATATTTCGTGTATTTTATAAGGAGCCAAACTAGTGCCCAGACCCGATACGTCAGAGTGAAATTGATAATGTATATAGATAAATAAATAAAGATAAATAAATAAATAAATAAATACAGAGAGAGAGAGAGAGATAGAAAGATACACCAGATACTAATTGTCCTTCAATAAATTCGTCAACCAAATACACATTGGTTCTGCATGTACAACAGTCTATAGAATGTGCAGGTATACAAACAATGGTAAATACTAAGTCGATTTAACCAATGGTATCCCAAGATAGCCATTAAATGTTAATCTCTATAACTGTGGTTCATTTGTGGGGTTGATGTAACTAATTCAAATAATATTAAATTCACTTGTGACTAATTCTAAGAGGTCGATGGGTCACTTGCACGACGTAGATTTTAATAAAGGAAAAAAAAACATGAAAAGTTTATTAAAATTTGAAAAACCCATAAAAAAAAATAACGTTGTTTTAATCTGACGTAACACCCTCTCAGACAGCCGAGGACTCAATGACCTACTTAACCTAACCAGACAGTAGTAGGAACACGTGTGGCCTTTTGAAGAGCTGTAAACAACCAATCATGGCCAGAGTGGTTTTAACGTAATACCACATTATCAATCTTCCTGTCTCCACTATAATACCTAAGACTATAACAACACTCAAACATTAACTTCACGTTGATCTGATCTGGTCGGGTCGGGTTCTGGTCTGGTCTGGTCTGGTCTGGTCTGGTCGGGGTCTGGTCTGGTCTGGTCTGGTTCGGTTAATGAGTAATATATATATAGCGTAGAGTTAACCGTGAAACCAATAAGCCTATATTAGAATTATTCATTGTGTTATTTGTGGCAGGCAGGGCGTAAGGGCAGGTGGGAAGTGGCAGGTGTGGGTGTAAGGTGGGTGGCAGATGTGACGGCAGGTGTGTGTGGGCAAGGTGTGTGGGTGTGGCAGGGGGTGCAGCAGGTGTGGGTGTGCAGCAGGTGGGGGCAGCAGGTGGGTGTGGCCGTCATTTACTAACAAACTGACTCACCAGGGGCCAGCATTACAGAAGAGGGAAGAGCTTGGGGAGCGGGGATGGGGGAAGGAAGAGGGGTAGGAGTAGGGGGGGTATAGGGGGTAGGGGGGGTAGTAGAGGGGAAGGCAGAGGAAGGGCAGAGGGGAAGGGTGAGGGGAAGGGGTAGAGGGAAGGGGTAGAGGGGAAGGGTAGGGGTAGAGGAAGGTAGAGGGAAGGGGTAGGGGTAGAGGAAGGGAAGAGGGAAGGGTAGGGGTAGAGGGAAGGTTGAGGGGAAGGGGTAGAGGAAGGGGTAGGGGAAGTAGGGGAAGGGGTGAGGAAGTAGGGAAGGGGTAGGGGAAGGGTGGGGGAAGGGCAGAGGGAAGGGTGAGGAAGGGTAGAGGAAGGGGGGTGGAAGGGTAGGGGAAGGGGAAGGCAGGGGGAAGGGAAGGGCAAGGGGAAGGGGGGGAAGGGTAGGGGTTGAGGGACAAGAAGTTGAGGGGAAGGGTAGGGGAAGGGGTAGGGGGAAGGGGTAGTGGGAAGGGGTAGAGGATCAGTCCCGGAATTAAATATCCTCCCCATCTTTAGCCTGATTATCCTTTACACCTGGTGGGTACCTACTTACCTACCTACCTACCTATCAATTTACCTATATATCTACTAACCTGCCTTATTCTTGACCTACCTGCCTATTTACCTTTTTTTACCTACCCAATTTGTCTACCTACGAACCTAGTTACTGTACTGTGAGTGAGTGGGGATGAGTACTGTAAGTGAGTGGATGAGTGAGTGAGTAAATGAGGGTGAGTAAGGGGAGACCTTGACCTTAATGTGAGGGAAGAAGACTCACTTGCCTCCAAATACCAGAGGAAAGGTCACCACACCTTTTGTACATGAGGAAGGAAGGAAGGAAGGAAGGAAGGAAGGAAGGAAGGAAGGAAGGAAGGGAGAGAGAGAGAGAGAGAGAGAGAGAGAGAGTCTTCCCTCACAAAGATTAATAAAGAACCATTAGCGCAGTCGAAAGTAGACAACCACAATAGCTACCCAGAGGCACCCCGGGTAAACACAAAAGAACCCCCAGTTTAGTTTAGTTTAGGTTAGGTTAGGTGAAGGTAAGGTTAGGTTAGGTTAGGTTAGGTGAAGGTTAGGTTAGGTTAGGTTAGGTAAGGGATCCTCTGTGAATGAACGCCACTGACCTACACACAACTATCGACCACTGGCCTAGAACGATCCCTCGGGAGGCTTATCTCAGGGTGATCACTGACCTGTAACAAAGCAAATGTAACCCCAATATCTTTCTTCTTTTCTCTGTCTTCACACTTAAGTAGATTTTACATATAATCCTCACCCAACTAATGCCTGGCCATGTGATAGTGTAAGGGCGGAAACGATCTTCCGGCTCGTTACCGCTGCTAACTCTCGTTTGCTGGTGCAGACGACACTTGGGGTGGTTGAACAGAGGTGAGAACGGCAGCGACTATCTGGGTCACAGGCAGATTCAACCCAGCCGCCATACAGTCACTATCTAGCTACCCCGCTGTTCGTCAAATTCTGGCTGTGATCTCATCATAGGTCCTGGACTCGTGGGCTGTGTCCCCAGACCTTCACCTATAGATTGTCAATTCTCTGGTCATCCACCACCACCACGACCGTCAATTCATCTCATTCCGTCTGTGCCCCGGTGTTCTCCTGCCATTTCAAGACAATCGGCTGCTGTCGCTCGAGTGTGGAGTTGAATGGACGCTTCCCTACCCTGAGTGTGCATCACGTGTTCCATAACCTTCCCCCAGGGCCACTGCCTTAGGAAATATCTGTTCATTATTTGATTCTATGGTTGTTTGATTCCATTAATTGCTGACTCCCCTTTATTGTTCGATTCTATCAATTGTTGACTCCATTTAATTGTTTGAATCCATTAATTGCTGACTCCCATTATTTGTTTGATTCGTTTAATTGTTTTCTTCCCTTAATTGTTTGACTCCATTAACTGCATTAATTGTTTGACTCCAGTAATTATTTGATGTTTGTTGAGTGGTGTCAGAGTTTTGTGTTATATTTTTTATAGTAAAGAGATGTCAATCTCAAACGGTTGTTTGTTATTCCTCAGAAAACCATGGTCCTTGACTTTCCTTTATTAAGGCCTTTACAGATAGGGTTAAAAAAAGTCATAGAACTCACACATTTTACCATACCTTTACAGATAGGGTTAAAAAAGTCATAGAACTCTCACATTTTACCATAGTCAGTTTATTCACCAATATAATAAAAGACATTCAGCCGTTTTCTCGTGATACGCAGAAAAAAAATCATAAAATTTTCAATATAAAAAAACTCACAAATTATACAGAATTCCCTGACTTTTTTCTGACTTTTTCCAAACACAATTTTTCCCTGACCTGCCCCCAAAAATCCCAGACTTTTTCTTATCAGCGGCATCCCTGTTATATTAAGGGGGAGGGGGCTACCTCAAGGGGTGAAGGGTAGGAGGTGGGTTGGGTAAAAGTAGGGGGTGGGGTGAGGAAGGGGTGGGTCGGGGTGAAGGAGAGAAGGGGAAGGAAAAGTGCAAGAGTTGGGGTGTGAGAGGGGAGAGAGAAGGGGGTAAGGGTGAGGGAAGGGTAAGGGTGGGGGAGGAGGGTAAGGGTGGTGGGCTAAGATCAATAAGACAATATAGTAATTACATCACATTGTTCCTTCCTCTACCTGTCTCCTTTATTACCTCCTTTACTTTATTACCTCCCCTTTAATACATCAATAAACTACTACTACTACAACCACTACTATCAATAATAATAATAATAACGATAATAATAATAATAACAATAATAATAATAAAAATATAAATAATAATAAAAATAATAATAATAAAAACAATAATAATAAAAATAATAATAATAACGATGATAATAATAAAAACAATACTATTAATAATAATGATAATAATAACAATAAAAATAATAATAATAAAAATAATAATAATAACGATAATAATAATAAAAAATAATAACTAATGATAATAATAATAATAACGATAATAACAATAATATTATAATAATAATAATAATAATAACAACAAAAACAATAATAATAATACTGTAATAATAATAATGGTATCAGTAGACAGGTGTGGCAGCCATCATGACAGGTGTGGCAGCCATCATGACAGGTGTGGCAGCCATCATCTTACCTCACATATATGTTGTATCAAGACGTCTGTGCCAGCATCACATCCTCCACACCTGTAACAACACACAACTTTATTAACAATAAGTGCTTCCATACCTGGGGGTGGGAGTAGGGGTGGGGTGGGAGCAGGGTGCAGAGTGGGGGCAGGGTGGGGGTGGTGTGGGGGGTGGGGCTGGGGGTGGGGTGGGGGTCAGGGCAGGGTGGAAGGTGAGGGTGGGGCAGGGGTGGGGTGGGGGGGGGTGGGGCAGGGTGAAGGTGTGGGGTGGGGGTGGTGTGGGGTGGGGTAGGGTCAGCCACACTATTAACATTTTCAACTCGTTTATGTAATATGTCGGTTAGGGCGACTGACACTTCCTCCTCCCCCCCTTCCTTTCCTCCCTATCCCCTCCTTTCCTTTCCTCATTTCCTTCCTTCATCCCTCCTCTCCCCCCTCCTTCCTTCTCTCTTCATCCACTGAATCCGTCACTAGCTGGGATACAGGGTATACCTTCAAGAGTTTACTCATTAAGCTGTTTACCAGAGTGAGAGTGTTTACCTCCAGGTAAGTGTTTACACACCAGAGTGAGAGTGTTTACCAGGTGAGTGTGTTTACCAGGTGAAAGTGTTTACCAGGTGAGAGTGTTTACCGAAATTATGTTTACCAGGTAGTGTTTACCAGGTGAAAGTGTTTACCAGAGTGAGAGTGTTTACACAGGTGAGAGAGTGTTTACCAGGTGAGAGAGTGTTTACCAGGTGAGAGTGTTTACCAGGTGAGAGTGTTTACCAAGTGAGGGAAAGTGTTTACCAGGTGAGAGTGTTTACCAGGTGAGAGTGTTTACCAGGTGAGAGAGTGTTTACCAGGTGAGAGAGTGTTTACCAGGTGAGAGAGTGTTTACCAGGTGAGAGAGTGTTTACCAGGTGAGAGAGTGTTTACCAGGTGAGAGAGAGAGAGCGTTTACCTGGTGAGGGAGAAGTTTACCTGGTGAGGGAGAAAGTTTACCTGGTGAGGGAGAAAGTTTACCTGGTCAAGGAGAAAGTTTACCTGGTCAAGGAGTGTACACGGTGAGGAAAAGAACAGAAAAAAAGACGGACGGACGAAAGAAGGGACATATAACGGATGGACAGAAGAACAGACACATAAACGGACGGAAGAAGAGAGAGAAAACAGACGGACAGAAGTGGGAACAGAAAAACGGACGGACGGAATTGGGAAATGAAAAACTGACGGACGGAAGTGGGGATTAAAACGAACGGGTGGAAGTGGAAACAGAAAAACGGACGGACAGAAGTGAGAACAAAAACGGACGGACAGAAGTGGGAACAGAAAAACGGACGGACGGAAGTGGGGGTAAAAACGAACGGGTGGAAGTGGGGACAGAAAATCGAACGGACGGAAGTGACAGAAAAGGAGAGAGAGAACCGGGAACATAAAAACGAACGGACGGAAGAAGAGGTAGAAAAAATGGACGGGCGGAAGAAGAAACAGAAAAGTGGAGGGACGAAAGCGACAGAAAAAGACAAAACTGGGGATAGAAAATAGAACGGACGAAAGTGGGGACAGAAAAACGGATGGAAGACAGAAAAACGGACAGAAAGAACATAAAAACGGACGGACAGACGGCACAAGAACATAACCTTGATATTATTTGCTCAAGACGACTCTATAAACAAGAATGGAGATATTGAACTTTTTCAGCTGACATTTAATGACATTTTGTTGGATCAATAGTTTAAGTGCAACACAGTAGACGGCCCCCTAGTGTACCTCCCTCCCTCCCTCTCTACCTCTCTCTCCCTACCATCGTTTTTCTCTCTCCCTACCTGCCTACCTCCTTCGCTTTCTTCCTCCCTTTCTCTTTCCCTGCCTCTCTACCTCCTTCCCTCCCTACTTCCTTCCCTCCCTTCCATCCTCCTTTTCTCTCTCCCTGCTTCCTAAATCTCTCCCTTTCATTCTCCCTTTCTCTCTCTCCCTCCCTCCCTCCCTTCCCCCCCTCTCTCTCTCTCCTTGCATTAGAAGAACACACCAACTCATACTGTTACAATTAACTGTTCCAAGGCGTTATATTATATGGGAGTATAATTACAGGGTAGCTCAAAAGGTCCCCATCTGTTACATTGGAATTTATCAATGGTCTCTCAGCATGAAGTTGTATTAATGAAACCAATTATTATTTTTGTTATCCAGTATAGGTCTAAGATTAGGCGCCATTGATGTCTAGTTATATGCCCAACTCTTCCCGCTGCAGTACTGAACACATTCCCAAGCAAAAGGTTAGTGTAGAATGTGTCACTATAATATAATTCTACACATCTTGTAAATCTGTAAAAAAAAAAAAATTGTAAATATCAGACTTTACAACTAACCCATAGATGTATAATGCTATCAAACACAGTGCTCGTCCAACCTAGTGATGCTGCAAGAGTTTCGTCTTGTTGAATAATCACAGTGTTGAGAATGTCATGTGCAGGAAGGTGAGGTTCTAGACACTAAACTGGAGTATATCATGACAACTGACCCGGGTACCGTAGTTTCTATAAAGAAAAGGGGTTTACAGAAACCTCTTGAAACACCATTTATAAATTACAACAAAACAGACAGCGATTTTTGGACCACTATTTTAAAACATGGAGTCAAGACACAACAGTACGGTTTGGCTGCTGCTCCACCACAAAATTCTTAAATTAGACTTTCGTCAATAACTTATAATTAAACTTAATGATTCACGTCATTAAGTTTGCGCACCTTTTTATCATACTTAAAAATCATAATTTTTTTTCCCAATTCTTCCACTGCCATCTGATAATGTTAATTATTTATTGGTCTATATATACATCACCTTGACGAGTTGCAACGGTTCCCTGTGGGCACCACCAACGGTGCCAGGCGAGGCACTACTACCAACGGTGCCAGGCGAGGCACTATCAACGGTGCCAGGCGAGGCACTATCAACGGTGCCAGGCGAGGCACTATCAACGGTGCCAGGCGAGGCACTATCAACGGTGCCAGGCGAGGCACTGTCAACGGTGCCAGGCGAGACACCAACAGAACTTTGAAGGGCTAACTGAGATAAACTATTTCTGGCGACAATACATACATTATACTGATGGTAACTTAGGCTACGTTAATTAAAATGATGTTACATTACTGTTTATTACGCAAGGTTAAGCGAGGTTAAATTTAAGTTAAGTTATTCAAGGTTAAGAATTACGTTAGACTAGGTTAGGTCAGCCTAAATTTGGCTACGTTAACATGAAATACAGTATATTAAATTAAGTTGCAAAATATTGCCATGTATGTATCAAGTGAAATTTTGTCCGCAACAGTCGAGGATGATGACATAAAACCCAGAGAGAGTTACAACATCTGTCAACACTGTTAACATCACTTATCATAGATGTCTAATACTCCAGAACCTACAGTTACACAAGTTGTAATTTATTAAAACTATTAATAAACTAATGTATCCTTGACATTACATTTATGAAACCACACTAAAGGTTAACACGACACAGATGAGTAATGCAAATGTTGCCCACTGAGTGAGTGCATGGTACAGTGTGAGTACGAGTGTATGCAAAGTGGAGTAAGTTCATGGTACAGTGTGAGTACGAGTGTATGCACAGTGGAGTGAGTTCATGGTACAGTGTGAGTACGAGTGTATGCACAGTGGAGTGAGTTCATGGTACAGTGTGAGTACGAGTGTATGCACAGTGGAGTGAGTGCATGGTATAGTATGATTATGTACAATGGAGTGAGTGTATGTGACACTGCACAGTGGGAGTGAGTGCATGGTACAGTGTGAGTACGAGTGTATGCAAAGTGGAGTAAGTTCATGGTACAGTGTGAGTACGAGTGTATGCACAGTGGAGTGAGTTCATGGTACAGTGTGAGTACGAGTGTATGCACAGTGGAGTGAGTTCATGGTACAGTGTGAGTACGAGTGTATGCACAGTGGAGTGAGTGCATGGTATAGTATGATTATGTACAATGGAGTGAGTGTATGTTCACATAGTCCCGTGATGCTTGTGTTTACGGAGTCTCTTAATGTCTACGTCAATGAATTCCTCAAGAGTAAAAGATAATGTCAGGAGCACAGGTGAGAAAATTAACAACTACGACCTTTTATAAATACCAGCAAATAAAAGCCTGAGGGCATAATCTTATGGGTTCTTGGGGCAAAATATACAACACAACACAAAAACACCATAAAACACCACACACACACAACACAACACAAAAACACCATAAAACACCACACACACACAACACAACACAAAAACACCATTCAACACCCCACACACACACACACACACAACACAAAAACACCATAAAACACCACACACACACACACAACACAAAAACACCATTCAACACCACACACACACAACACAACACAAAAACACCATAAAACACCACACACACAACACAAATACAAAAACAATTCATAAAACACTACACACACACAACACAACACAAAAACACCATAAAAACACCACACACACACAACACAAATACAACAACACCATAAAACACCACACACACACAACACAACACAAAAACAATCTATTCAACACCACACACACAAATACAACACAACACAACAACACCATAAAAACACCACACACACAACACAACACACAACACCATAAAACACTACACACACACAAATACAAATACAAAAAACACCATCAACACACACACACACAACACAAATACAAAAACACCATTAAACACCACACAATAATAAGAACACAACACAAAAACACCATTAAACACTACACACACACAACCACAACACAAAAAACACCATTCAACACCACACACACACACACACACACACAACACAAAAACACCATTAAACACCACACACACACAACACAACACAACAACACCATAAAACACCACACACACACAACACAACACAAAAACACCATTCAACACCACACACACACACACACACAACACAAAAACACCATTAAACACCACACACACACAACACAACACAAAAACACCATTCAACACCACACACACAACACAACTCGTGAATGCTGGTTTGGATTTGCTTAAGTTAGG